GAGAAAGCATCAAAAACACACCGAAAACATTTATCTGTAGTGTTGCCTGCTCTACGAAGCCAGGATGGGAGAAACAATATGTGCAATGGGATCCCTGATTATATGAAATGATGCGAGTGTTCATACTACGCACGTACGGTAGTAAGCTGCGTAAATTCGCTTTTGCTTTTGTGCTCTGTGAGGATTTCTTGGAGATCATCTCTTTCTTCCCCTGGGGCCGTGCCCAAATTTACCAGGGGCACAAAACATTTGAATATGGTGAAACCCGGGATGAGAGCCAAGAGTCGCTTTGAACTTTCGCATTCAGTTCTTTCTTTGGATCCGGAGATCGGAAGCAAGGTGGTTTTGAGTTTGTGATTTCAACTTAACTAACTTGAGATGCTTTAGAAGAGGATGGATCACTGTGAATCTTCCCAAACTCAAAATAGATTAGATCTTTTAGGCGTTTGTAAACATTGGTGAAGTTTCTAGGAATATAAACAGAAATTTTGTGCTAAGGTTCGTTGCACTCTACATCTTTCATTATTCTCAATCAAATTTCGTCAAATTGCTACTTTGGCCTAAGCTATGTCACGGCATTACTCGTGCAAGAATGCAAGGGTGGCAGTAATTTGCTCGAAAACACCTTCTTAACTAAGTTTTCCTAAGACATAGTAAGTAGGGGCTTCAAGTCATCTTTGCAATGAAGCCAAGTAACCAACTGGATCCAAAAGGATACTTCTGCAAAGGACTGTCAATGGGGAGATTGAACCTCAATCCTCATACTTGTCCACAATCATTGCATTTCACCAAATTTGCAGCTCCGTGTGCTGTACAAACTGCATTCTCCAGCCTTTTGTATGATGCCCTGATGCGGCCAAACGTCTTTTCTTCAAAGTCTTTCTTCCTTCGAAGTGTCCACACAAGTTGCAACGATCGTCTAAATCAACAGTGCTTAGCATGTTGCTGATAACAACTGGTGATGTACTGCATGAAATTTCCGATCAACCACAAGTCGAAAGTTGAGGTTTATCGAGAAAATCGATATCCCAGAAACTCATTTGTTCAGCAGCATGCTCAGCACTGTTGGGTTGGATAATCAGTACAACTTCGGAAGGTTCTCGTGAACTTGAAAAGAAGAAAAATGACTTTGAAAAAAAGATGGTCGGCCGCCAGGGCGTATCATACAAAGTGCAGGAAAATGCGGCTTGTACACTTTTTTCATTTCATTTATTACATAGGATGTCCTATGCATTAACCATCAACAGAAGGTGCTACAAAACATCAAAACCATTTGTTAGTAACAACAGACTACAAAAACGAAGAGAGTAGTAAAAAAACGTTTTCTTTCCTTTATTGCGAAAGCAAATAGTCCATTAAAAGCGTCTTAAATTGGGAAAGCTTTACGGGAAGCACTCCTCTTCTCATTAGTCTATCCAGATCACTACTAATTCTGTTAACAAAGAATCTTCTCACGTTTCTCCTTGCTCTAGGTATCACTATCTTCCTTGAACCTCCCCTAGTTTGAGAACTTCTAGTTTCAGACAAGGAGAACGGCTCAAGTTGATAGTCCTTGAATGTAATCTTATGTGCTGTAATAAGATCAAACATCCTCCTTCTCATGGCTAAACTAAATAACCCGAGTTCCTTGTTTCTGAGCGTCCCCTTGGGTACTTGTTCATACCGAAAGCCTTCGGTCCGTATTAGCAATTTCCTTGTAAAATAGCAATTTCCTTGTAAAATTATTCTGTACTTTCTCAAGCACCCGAACTGAAGTGGCTTTTGTAGGATTGAATACTACAGTACCGTACTCTAGTAACGGCCTGATATAAGTTTTATAAGCCCTAATGAGAAGGCATGTGTCACTAGTTGATAATGCTCTGAATAAGTTATATACTGCCGCATTACCTCTCGCCGCAACTGCCTCACAGTGCTTATCGAAACTCAGGTTACTGTTGACCAAAAACCCTAAGTCTCTCACTTCATTGACACAATCAAGGTACTCTCCTTCAATCTGATATCGATAATGTGAGTCAGCAGGACCAATGTAGAGTACCTTAGTTTTTTCCCGAGATATGGGTAGCTTCCAATCTATTGACCACGCAACCACTGCATCTAGCGCTCGCTGAATTTTGACTCTGTCTTCATCTGTTGATACTGTAGCATAAATTTTGAAATCATCAGCGAAACCGCAACACGACACTCCCAATCTTGAGACTAATGCAGGATGATCATAAGTATAGATGTTAAAAAGAACTGGTAAGAGGACGCCACCCTGCGGTACACCACTAGTCATTGCTCTGAGCTTTGAAAAAGTACGATTAATTTGAACAGTGAATTTGCGATTAGATAAAAAGGCAGAAATCCAAGCGACTATGCATGGGTGCATTCCTATTGATTTCATTTTGAGAATGAGCTTCGAATGCGGTACTTTGTCGAATGCTTTAGTGAAATCTAGATAAATAACATCAGTACTTATGCCAGAATCTAACGCCGTAGTCCAATCATTGAGCTGTATAACATAGAGGTTACTGTTGATTTACCCTTTTGAAATCCATGCTGTGCTTGCGGTATTATGTTATGTTTTTAAGGTGTTTATTTATCTGAATTTTGATCAACTTTTCAAAAAGGCGCGCAAATATGGACGTTATGCTTATGGGACGGTAATTATGAATGCAAGTATAAGGTTTCTTCTTTGGTATAGGAGTTATAAAAGAGACTGTCCATCTTTCAGGAACTTCTGACCTAAGTAGACTCAAATTGAATATAAACTGCAATGGCCTTGAAATGATGTGAGCTACCTCTTTAATGAAATGCAAAGGTATCAAATCAGGAGTTAGAGACCTTGATCGAGGCCATTTCCGAAGAAGTTTGTAGATGTCAAAATCATCAAAATAACGGAACTCTTTCATCTCTTCAAAATTCCGTTCAACGGAGGCATGATCTGATGAATAGTTTTCTTCAACAAATACTTCTTCAAAGACCTTAGCGAAATTTTCGGCTTTTTCAAGCTCCGAGGTCAAAATATTTCCGGAATCAGACATGATAGCTCCCATCCCTTTTCTTTCCTTAAGCCTGGCATTTAGTAGGCGGTAAAATGCTGTCCTCTTTCCGGTTTTGATTATCTTTCTTTCTGAATATGTATTAAATTTTTTGAGTTTCCTCTCAAAACGTGAATTAACATTTTTTAATTTCATTAAATCTTCATCCACACTCATTGACCTAAACCTAAACCATGCCGTCTCTCGAATCCTGGACAACTTTGCGATGTGTAAAGGTACAAACTGTCTACTTGATGGTACCAACTTCACTGGGATAAAGAGATCGATTGCATGTTGGATTACAAAAATCAGCATTTCATACATTTCGTTTACACTAGCGACCGTACTGAAGGAACCAATCCAGTCAACGTTCTCCAAGTATTGGACGGCATCCTTAATATCTCCATTCTTATAATCTCTTTTCAAAATGAAATCGTTTGAGTGTAATTCCATACTACGCATGGTAAAACTGATCATTGTGTGATCACTTGACCCAATAGGGGATTTGGTTTCACGGAAGTGATCAAAGAACCATCACTGGTTAAGATCAAATCTAGTATATTTCTTCCAAGTGTCCAGAACTTAACCTTTTGGCAGAGGTCTAGGTTAAGGCACATATTCAAGAATGTTTTTGCTACTACTCTTACTGATTTTCATTTCGTTCCAATCTATCTCAGGGTAATTGAAATCTTCCAGCACAATTGAGTGAAGGTTGGAAGCTATCAAGTCTGATATCGCTTTGATCAATTGATCTGACAAGTGGTGGGGGCAGGATGGCGCTCTGTAGACCAATATGACACGGGTTGCCATGTGGTTTGAATAGATATCCACGCAGATCAATTCACCTCATTGACTGACTCATCAAAAACAAGATGCGGGCAGAGTAATTTACTGATCAATAAGGCAACACCTCCTCCTTTTTTGAGTCGGCGGTCGCATCTATAGATAAAATAATTAAAACACAAATCCCCAGGGAGAGCTGAATCAGTGATATTATAATCGAAATTTAGTCAAGTTTCGGTGATTGCAATCATATGAGCAGGAGTATTGGAGAGGAGAAACTTGAGGGAATTAATATTTTTTTGTAGGGATCTGATATTCATCAAGAAGCATGATAAAGGACCATTTACTTTCCTAAGTGTAACTAATTGTTTAAAGAGTTCGATAATTGAGAATGAGAAGTGCGATTAGACAATACATTAGTCTGAGTTGACGAAACATCCATTTGATTATCTTGAGAAACAATTGGAGAATCATTAGCGACATTGTTTCTACGTGGGCTACTTTTACGTTCACGAACAAGTTTGATCTTAGCTCTTTCCTCTTGTGAAAGAGATGGGCGGACGTAAAGATCTTTTTTGAATGGAAAATACTTCAAGGAAGGAGCACGCTTGAGAGTTAGATTTACAAAAAAAGAACAAAGAAAAGAACAAGGTAAAACCACAACCACCACCCCATACACTTCTTGCTCCCGTTCAAGATGTTCATGGTGAAGGATGGTGGGAGTACTTAGGATAGGTAGACAGGGTGAAATCCAGATATCTGAAGCTTCAGGATATAAAGCTTTCTTCTGAAGCTGCGATCCCCTCTCTGGCGGGGATGTTAATGCATGCGGGCCCTAGTTTCTTTTCGTCCGCTAAATCATATTCTAAAGTTCAGCAGGCAGTCACGCCTGAGCTCAGGTTGCTTGCAAATGGGCTGTCATATTATGTATACAGGCATTATGGAATGTTGTCAGGGGTAAACAAATTAATAGCCACTCCGAAGACTAAGGCATTCCTGGTTTGCAGTGATAACCTTACCTTAGTCGATTTTGACCTCAAATTCATTGATAAACACGGGCAAAGTTGATTCTATTATAGGAGAGACACACGGGATACAGTTTTTTGAAAAAATTGTGATTACAGCTTAGCAAAGAAATAAGTAAATGGAAGAAAAATTTATCTCTTGCGGCAAATAAAGCATATGAATATTCTTTGAGTATCTATCAACCAAATGCCATTTCGACTTCATTTCGCATAGATAATTTCAGTACCTTAAATACTGCAGTTGAGAAACAGTCTTATAGTGGTATTTTCCTAATAGATTTATTTTGCTTTTTGAATGAAGCAATTAAAAATTATTGCATATTTATGATGTTAGTCAAGTCTGAAATGATCATAATAGATTATAAATAAAGGATGTCTAGTTTATAAATGAACCCTCAAACTTTGAATAATCGAATGTAGTTCTCATAGCATAGTTTACCCCAATAATTTCATACTCGACCTATAGTACAATTCTATGAGAAATAAAACTAGTAAGTGCACACAAATGCGAACGGGGCAAAAATGCAAAAAAAATTAGCGATAAGAAAACACGATACAATGAAGCGTACCATAAATTTAGAGCATAATTTTTCGAGATCAGATCAGATCAGGCGGTGTGGATACGGTAGAATTGTGGTGCATTGTGTGCGGGTCACAAATCGAGCATATTGATCGCATTATGCGAGTGTCGTGATTGGTTGCTCACATTACTCAATGAGCCACCATTCGATTTGTGATTCGTCGACGACACATACTGTATCCTTTCGTCGAAAATCTAAATGTGCGATACAGATAGCAAGCACAAGTGCTATAGGCTGAGAAAAGAGCCAAGAGCTCTACGTGGTGAATTGCCTGGTCGGTTCATACTCTGTTGCCCAATTCGCTAGCTCGACAGCATTTCTGTCTTTTTTTTTGATTTCTTTGAGTTTGAAGTGAGCTCACAAATTATTTTGACCTGTCATTCTTTATAATTTGTTTTATTCAATTAGAAGTTAGCAAACTTAACGTAAGAGGTTTGAAGCAGATTAAAGGGATGTGGCGCAAATAAATGATGGGCATTTGTCATTTGGGGCCGAGTAATGAGATATTATCGTCGTGCATAAATACCAAAGAAGAAAGTGATGGTTAGCAAAAGATGATAGTAATATACTAGGTTTCTTGACTAATGAACTGATGACTTCATATATGTCTAAACAAGCTCACTCCCTTTCTATTCCCAGAAAGATTTTGCGGACTGGACTTGAACTGATTCAGTGGGGAGTTTGCCTTTTTTTTTGTTGTTGGTTGTTTGGTGTGATGCTTCGTTCTTCTGTTGTATGGGCGCGCCTTGTGCGTATTAAATAAATAAATAAATAAATAAATACTATGTTTCTTGACTAAGGCAATCAAAAGAGAAATACATCCGTTGCTATTAGGGCGGACGTCGCGTTCATTTTCGCTTACGCGACACCGACTGCCAAATGCGCGTCATTTAGTGCTCCGCTTGCATACAAGCGAAGCACGCCTTGCAAGTAGAATAAGGCACGTGCTTTAAGGTATGCAATATTTTTAAGAAAAATTGATAGTTAAATGACGTCATAATGAGGGAAAGTGACATATCCGATTTCCTCCATATGGCCTTGGGACTTTGACAAAAAGTTCCGGCAAAAGAGCTGCCCTAGATTCTAACTCCAACGAGTATGAACCGACCATAGTTTGGTGATTTTTTTTTAAAGCAGAAATTGGCAACACCGCGTAACCTGCACATTTCCACCGCCAGGTTTGTGTTTGATATTATCTTTGGAGCCGACTTTGCTGGTGGCATGCCACTCGAGTTTTTGATTGAGAATCTGAAGGCGAACAGCGAAAAAGCTTGGTGCAAAAGAAGAAAAAAGCGAAGCATGTGAGGCGATCGACCGCGTGTGAACCTCGGAGAAAATCGCCATCATACCTGTACATTACCACCGGCTGGCTTGTGCTTCACATTGTCCAATGAGCCAATCTTTGATTGGGCGTTCCAATTCAGCTTCTGTGTGATCATCTGAAAGAAAATGAAAATTCTTTTTTTCGAAAATTTTCCATGGAATGCGCTAATGAATCGCAGCCAGGATGAGTCCAACTGGTCCTAATGCTTCCTCCATAATAATCAAATTATCACAGAAAATTACTACAATTCAGCAAAGCGGAACTTCTGGAAGAGGGGGTAGGGAGGGCCCTATTCTCAGTAATCACAGAATGTTGGAAAGTTATTTACTGACTCATAGAACTGCGCAGACAAAATATTTGCTTGCGAATAAAAAGAACAATCTCAGAACATTTTTTAAACTCAAACCAATTTTGTAAAAAGTATCGCGCATGATTGGGCCATCCCATCCCCTCTTTTCTAGAAATAAGTTCTCGAAAGCTTTGGCAGCTTTCTAACAATTTTACCAAGGCCAATACTTAGCCGATGTTGACCCAAAAAATTTAGTTTTTTATAGCCTCCTCCTCTTTCACCCCCCCCCCCCCCCTATAAACTTCTTTGAATGTTTTATAATTGTTACCTGCTTCTAATGTGTTTGGCAAAATTATCAATTCTGATTATAAATTGACATAACATTTTATTGAGTGCCATTGCACTAGTGACTCGAATTTGATGTTTAATAAATACAAAGCACAACAATAAAAAGTGTTAGTTTACCTTCTTTTCGGGAACCGGAGGCACATAGTCAGACTTTGCTTCAATTTTTGGTTTAGCTTTCTCTTTGAAGTCTAACTTTACTGTTGGTATTTTCACATTTCCGCCTCCTAAATTAGTCGTCGTAAGGAAAGCGTGCACAGCACAAGTTAGAATTCGGAAAAAAATTCTGAGGGCAGTGACGGCGTACCTGGTGTATGTGTTACATTATGTAGTGAACCTATTTTGGACTGTGCATTATAGGTTCGACTTTCGGAAAATATTTGCACATTTCCGCCTTGTGGTTTGTGATCCGTGAACGAGCCAATTTTACTGAAAGCTTGGTTAGCAATGCAACTTTTCATGAAAATAAGCAAAATTGACAAACCTTGTGACGGTGACGATTTTTCTATGTACTTTTGGTGTAGTCGGTTGACTGACGGTTTTGGCTGGAAAAACTTTGGCTGCAAAAACAGATGTTGAAAATTTTGAAGGTGTTCAAAAGCGCATAGTATTTTTCAGGAACTTGCTGATAAAAATCGCAAATTTTGGGTGGTATTTAGAATTGTAGCCTACTCGCTAAGCCATCTTCCAGTCTTCTTCTCGAACTATTTCCTACTAACCTGCTATTATCAACCAAATCCCACAGCGCAAAAAATGAATTGCAGCGATGCTAACGATTTATTTTGGGGTTCGTGTGCATGAAGCGTGAAGGGATAGGTGAAGAGACACGATTTGATAACAACTGAGAAAATGGCCTAAACCATTGGTTCTAATAAATACGTTCCATGGGATAAACCTCAATGGAGTGAATGGTTTACAAAAACTGATTTAGGAAAAATATTATTTTTTTAGAATGTTTGATCTTGTAGTGAAATCGAAATGGAGTGAACTGATTTAGTTATTTTTTGATGTAAATACATTTTTGCTTCCCTTTTCGAAAATATTTTAATCTGAAGAACGTCTTATTTCGATCTTTTTAGCCTTAGAGAGTATAGAATAGCAAATAAATAGATAAAATATTAGCGAAAACCCAAATTAGCAAGATTAGGAAAAATGTCAAAAGTAAAACAAACAACCGATGGACATAGGCATGTTCCAAGAAAGCATGACATTCAAAAACAGTTCGCAAAAGCATGATGTATTTGTTAATTTAGATGACACAGTTTCAAAAAAACCTAGCAGAAATTATACCTTTTTTATCTTTATCTTTTTCGTTCACCTGTTCTTTTCCTATAAACTCAAAAAAGGACAAACAAAATACAGCTATCAAAACTTTTCTTCTGAGCTGTAAGCCATTAAACCAACATTGAAAGCTAAGTGCAAATGGAAAGAAACGAAAGCTTCCAATTATGGCATAAGCAGTCATGAAGTTCACAAATGAATCACAACCACAAAGCAAAAAAACTCACATTCAATTGTCGGCCGCGGTTGTGACTGCGTTCGTGCGGCTGGCTTCTTCACCACCTCTTTTGCAGCAGGTCGAAGGGGCATTTTTGGTGCCGGGGGTTTGATGGACCTCACCAGGGCTGCTGGAGGCCTCGGCATAGCCGTGCTGAAATCGGTCATAGTGGTCCTGCAATGTGCTCGAAGTGAATACTAGTAGTTTTAGGGAATGGCTGAGGCGAACGCGGGGCGAGACCAGGCAGGAAGGTGCGGAAGTTCCCGATGCCGAGGGGCTTGGTAGGGTGCTTCGCGAGCTCTGAGAGCTGGTTCGATACTCGGACACCCGGCCATTTTCATGCCTACGAGAACTCCAGTGAGCGTTGCTGTCTCTCGGCTTGGAATTCAGAATGAGCTCTCCAGGTAAGAACAACAGGATGCAAGGACTTTGCGTCTGAAGCTGTGGTCACGAGACCTCTGCGCTCAAATAATTTCAGGACAATAGATTTCAAGCCTATAGAAATTGAGCTTGAAGTACAAGTAATGTTCGTTAAACTTTTTTCACTTGTGGCAGTTAGGATTCAGCCTTCATCTGACCTTGTTCTGGACCCGAAAAATCCGGAAATGTTTTGAATTCGTGCAAGGCATAGAAAGCATAATTGCTTATGATAGCTGTGCTATTGACCACGAGCTCAGCCACTTGAGCGATTAAGTGCTCTCCCATGATACGAAAAAAGTGCAGATGGTAAAAAGGCTCTGAGGTCTACGATGACTAAAATATTAGGTAGATTCGAGAGTTTTCTTCCTTTATTGCCCCTGGTCCTAAGTTTTCTAGGAAGTGATGAAAAATTTCAAAACAACAGATTCTGGTGAAGGAGGAGATTATGCGTTTTCTAAATGAAGAGTTCGTAAGTGATTCTCAGAAATTCTCCTTGAAGTGAACGGCCGAAAATTTTGAATATTTTAGGTCCCTTCTAATGGAAATGTTGAGCTATAAATACTATGCATTTTACAGAGAAAAGTCGCCAATTTTTACTCGAAAAATTCTTCATCTTGGTTTTTCACTCGAACACCATCAAAACTTACGGAAAAGAATTGTGACTGAAAAGAAGTCAAGGGAAAATTAACATCCTAAATATTGCCCCCAAAAACAGGCTTTGCGTTGATTAATATTTCCTTGGCTCATGATATGCAACAAAAAAGGGAAAAACTAGCCAGAGAGAAAAGAACTTATTCCATATTTCTGCAGCTGCAGTCAGTGGATTTCTTTCAAAAGGTGTTGAAAAGGCACTAACATAAACCATTCAGAAAAGCAACGCATGATTTCTTCTGCTGTCGAATTAATCCTCTTTGACATAAGCCCTTATTCTCGCACTATATGGCTGAGACATAGCATAATGGCCTGTCTTAACGTAAACTTACTCTTTTGGATGACATTTTCTTCCAAGCAAATTGTTGAGTTTCAATTGTAAAGATTTCTTTTGTTCTTGTGTTATATGATTCAACTGACAAATCCTGAATAACCTTATTTTTCTCTTTTAGATAAATCCATGTCGTAAATTTCGATAAAGACTTCATACAAACATTTTTCATTCTCAAATTGTCCAATGAAAAGAAGAAATTTTGGTAAAAAATAGCATTTTCAAAAATTTCATTGGAAAAATATTAGCAAAACTTCCAGAAATGCCTGGCTTTTCATGAAAGCATTTCCAGTGCATAACCATGGACAACGCTTTTCGCAAATTTTTTGAATAAAAACTTCTGTGCAGAAAATTGCTGTGAATTGTCCCAAAATTACGAAGGCATGTGCAAGAGCGTTAGGACTGAGACGATTATGGGCAGAAAATTTTTTTACAAATTTGGAGGGGGAAGGGAGGAAGATGGTGGTACATATATATAAAATGGCGATGTGAATTTTAAACTAGGGTGAGCTCCTTGCAAACTTTGAGGAGAGGAGAAGACGTTTTGCTAGCTATAATCCTCAGGCTTTATGAGCTGTATCTTTCAGCGTTAGTCATAAATCAAACTATTTAGTCATATCCATTTCTTCTCTTCCCTTTTGCTCTTCCTCTTTATCTTCTCCTTACAATAAGACTCTTTTATGTTCTCAGAATTCGCCTCATTTTCTCGTACTCACCTAGGTCTGGTAGCAGATTGGGCTCGATTTGCAGTAGGGCCTTGTGGAGCTCTAAAACTGGATCTTTTCCAGTGATTTGAAGGACCAAAATAGGGCTGATAAAGGAGTAGTAGTAAGGGCACTCACGTGTGAATTACTCGATTAGGCGGTCGTACTAATCGGCTGGCTGGTTTTGGCGCCGGTGCAGTTGGTTCCGCTTTCTAAAAATTCCGTCTCTAAGCATATAACTAACCAGAAGGACAAAGTTTCGAGTACTGAAAAGTACGAAACATAAGAAGAGTCATATTTACTACCACACAGTATAGATAAGCTCATTCTACTTCACAACTTGGGAAAAATTATTTACAAAAGGAAAAAACGGAAAAGCTAAAGGTAGTTTCTTTCTCAAAACTTTTTCGTTGTCTGCCTTCTTCCCACATTGAGAAGTTCAGAGTGGTGGATGAGGTTTTGTCAAACTTCAATGTAAAGGAAGAGACGAAACACATCTTGAAATATAAGATCAGTTTTCTAAAATTATTTTCTTAAAAGTGTGAGTACGTAGTTTGAAGAATACATTCAGTCATTAGCTCACTAGGTTTTACAAACAAAACACAAAATTCTGTAATCTCCACCAAATTCAATGAATCTGTACAATACCCTTTCCGAAAATTTCGAGGCAGAAATCATCGTTAGGGCTCGGCACAGGTGGTGGCTTGTAATCAAGCTGCATATCGTTTTTGGGACAAAAAGCAAAGGAGGTATCGTTTTCGGATGAAAAATACAAAAATTGCGAATTTTTGTTTTAATCGACGTTTCGTTTTTGATGGTTTTTTTAAAGTTCAGAGTTTAGGGTCAAAGGGACTTCGTAATTCGCGAAAGTCAAGAGGGACTTTGTTTTTTACATTTTCCAAAAGCTTTCTTGCCCGAGCCCTGATCATCATTGTCATATCGCGGTAATAGAATCTGTTGAATGTAAACAACCAAGTTGCATTTTCCAGCTTTCAATTCCCAACAATGCTGGAAGGTCCAGAAATTTTTGGATTAAATTCACTTTTTATTTGGATTTTATCTATGTTTTCCAATAAGATAAGTTTGCGCTGTTAGGACGTGTAAACAAGAGATTGTAATTTTCGATCTTATATTTTCGAATCTTGATATTGTCTGAAATAAATTCTCTGATGTATACAATAGAGCATAAATCATATACAGTGAAAATAATACTATACAAAATGATGCGCTGATTTGAGATTTCTAAATGAATTTTTTGGGACTTTCGATGCAAGTCTTATGTTCCAACCTAATATAATCACTATATTTGCTCCGATCCGCTGTACTGTTCGTGTGCTCGGCAAGATGTCTATCATAAATTACAAGGCAACACTTCCTTACACTACTCAAAGAAAAGTGCTAGTTGTAAACAGACGCTCAGTGTATGATAATATTTTTCTGATTCTGCACTTTAAGAAAAACGATCAAAGGGACTTACTTCCTTTGTCTCAGTTACAGTCGGTTCAGGCGTTACCGTTTTCGGTGCTTCACTTGTCGATTGGAAGTCCCCAGCCTGAAGTTTGCTGAGTAAAAAATTTCCTTTATGTTATGAATGCATGGTCACCCTTTAGAGGCTAAAGATTTCACAAGGCGCCTTCATGGAGCTACTTCATTTGGCATCTTTACATAGTTTTATTTTCATAGAGTTCTCCTCCTCTTAAGTCTTAATGTTCTACAGGGTGCTCCACAATCATTTGCGCGTGTATTATTAAGAGCCATACGAACATAAGACCGGCTCAGCCAGCGGTTAAGCTTGATATTGTTTTCTCAGTTCTACAACATTGTATCCTAGTTGAAAGCTTTTCGGTAGAAATTCAAAATATTTCTCTGACTTTGTCGCGTGCTGCACCGTAGAGGCCCACAAACTTGCCCAGCATGTATCTTTTTAGTGATAGCTTCTCTCAGGTGAAGATTTCGGCATGAAATAGATCTAATCTTTGACTTTAAGATCACTGATTCGGATCTTTAAAAGCATTCAAAACAAAAATATTAACTATTTGATAATTTGCGTCAGCTAGCGTTTTTTCTGTCACGAACCTTGCTTTTTGCAATTCCTTCTCTAAATAAAGACCGATTTGGGATCTTGATAGTGCTTTTTATAGAGTATGCCATTCTGTGACATTAAGTCCAGACCAAATTTCTCATTGCCATTGTTGTGGCAATACTTTGAATATTTTGGCGCAAATAACTTTTACGCACCCTGTAAATCTTAGTTTTTGCTATACGAATGCACGACTTGCTTTTGTGGTCTAGACTTTGGATCATCAACATTTGTGTCCATTCAGGACATGCTTGTGAGACAACTAAGCAAAGCAGTAGTGTAGAGGGCCGGGTATACTTCACGCAGTTTCAGACGCGACGCGATTTGGTAATTCGCCAGAAGTCTTCAGATCCAACACTAGCAAACTGCGCAAGCACAGTGTGTATAACTTACGTAGATTGATGAAGTGCCCTATCTTCTGTACATTCAAAATGTGCTTACCATGATTAGGGACAGTTGGAATATTGCCAAATCGCGTCGCGACTGAAATCGCATGAATGTCTGGTTCTTAGGGTACACAACAACGACATGGGCGCAGAATTTACAAGATCTAAGAGAGAGAGAGAGAGAGAGAGAGAGAGAGAGCTTTTTTCAAATTTGCATGCATTCACTTTGCGATGAGCAAGAAACACACAAAAGCTCATTGAAAAGCTGTTTTTTACCGTTTATTTAAATTTGCGCTTTTTTAGAATAAAAGCTGATATATATCTTCTCAAATGCTCAGGGTTTTCATTCGTGTCAGTGATGAGGACATGCTTGGGAGACACTTAGGTAAGCTACTATGGTCATACATACTCAGTAGTCATGCGTAGTTATGATTCAATAAATTCTCAGTCAAACTACTGCATTTTAAATCCTGAGCTGCACTCCTAAGAAGTAGAATGAGTTTCTTTTATAATAGGTACGGGCCTAAAATGACTTCACAATAAATTCGCGATTTGTGATTCGTCTTACCGCTGCGATTAGGTAATTCCAATTTCCACGTTTTGCCAAAGAAATTCATTGTTGGTTTTGAAAAAGCAGAAGACGTCAGAGGTCTTGATGCACTCTTACAATTTCTCAGAATTTTTGCTACAACGAGTAAACCAATGGCCTACAATCAACAAGGGCTGCTACCACTCTTTACCAAAATACGCTTTAGTTTTGCAGATTAGGAAGACTATCGATAAATTTTCTCCTTCATATAGAGAGTAAGAGGGACAAGGGATTCAAACGGCAGCACAAAGAGAAAATCCTTGTAGCAAAAAAAACCAAATTTCTGGACATTGGCCCATCAAGATTGTCGCATCTGGATTTTGGTTTTTGAGGGCATTAATCTTGCCGGCATTACAGACGAACATTGCCAATGTGTCCATCATTTACTTACAGCGGAACAACGTCGAAAAACTCGTTGCGATTTGTTATTTACACTGTGCACGCAAAGACAAAAGAAAATGGAAACGCTGAGACTAAAAGTACCACGCAACTGCTTAGAATATTACGACAAACATTGCAAAAGAGAGCAAATCTTTACCAAAAACATGAAGTTTTGACTTCTTGTTTCTAAGAAGATAATGCCTTTTTCATGCAGAAACAAAAACGAAAGAAATTTTCGTAAATCTTTACGCTTTTCAGGCCCTCTGTGAAATTTCAGTGAGTCTTTCCTATGAGATTGATCCGTTTGAAATCGGAGGATTGAGAAAATTACGAACGAAAAAAGAAGAAAAATGGAAAAAGAAGAGGGAGGTTGTGTAAGAACTTCATTGTGATTATAGAATTGTACGAGCTACTCGTTACTTGTAGAATATTTCAGAATTTTACTCAAAGTTTTATTTATAAGAGCTCGGAAAAAATATGGAAAGTTCAGAAAAATTTTCCTGATGTACCCCCTTCTTTCAGCCAGAAAACATTTCGACAGCTGTGTTTTGAGCATTTTTTCTGGCACAAAAACGTAGAGCGCTTTCCATGCATCCACCAAGCTCAAATTTCGCTCATAGAAAAATCTGGTTCTGTTTCGAAAAAGGCGAGATGACAGACGCAAAGAGACAACAGACAAGAATTTTGATTTTCCCACTTATACAACTTATATATTTTATTCTTTGAAAATTTTTTTTCTTAGAACCGCAACTTCCTTTTCAGCGAGGAAGTTCAAGTATTTTGTACCGATGCGTTTAGTGCAGAAAAATCGAATTTCCAAGATTACTCATTGATTCACAAATGAATACGGTAAGGGTTTATTATATGTCTACTTCGAGGCCATATAGAAAACTGGGATAAAATAGGCGCAAACCAAAGGAATTTTGAAGAAAACGTAAACAGTATTTTCAAACGTCGGCGGTTCTAAACGCGGCTCGAAAAATTGCAAAAAGAAAAAAATTAGCGAAAAATGTGAATTACAACATCCTCAGCCACTACGATGTGAAAACTAAAGATGTGATGTGGAAAACGAGGAAAATTTCGGAAATAATTTGTTATTTTGGGTTTTATGGAAATTTCAATGCACCGTATCAGCTACAGAGCATTCATTGGTGTTTGTGGACTTGCATAAGCATTAAACAACTAATTTCCAAATCTACAAACCTCAGCAGATCTCAGCTGACCATCGTTTCGGACCACAGCTTCGTTGTGCTGCTCCGTCTCTTCCTCATCTCGCTGCGTTTCGCGGCTTTCGACCATCTCGTCTTGTTGCTGTTCGGAATCCGCGATCCTCTGCTGATTCTCGAACACCTCTGTTTCGTGACTAATGACGAGCGAGTCCATGGCTGACTTCTCCTCAGCAGTAACCAGATCAGGCTCAGCTTCCTGCTCAGTAAGTTGAGATTCGCTGAGCTGTGTGATACTCTCAGTGACGGCAGAGCCCTCTCTAAGGAACGGCTCGCTTTCTCGTCCTTGTTCGCTTTCTTCGATTTCTTCCTGCTCCTGTTCGGCGGTAATTGGTTCCTGGAATATTTTATATGGCTTGCTAGTTAGAATATCGAGCACATATGAATGAAATATGATAGGGTTTAGCCTGCTAACCAAGGCATTCGAATATAAAACAGAGAGAAGACTGATTTCAAAGTCCTTTCTTTCATTGTTGGCCGTTTTGAGCTGATTCGAAATAGCAAGTAAATCAAAGAAAACTTTGTTAGCCTAAAAGCCTTCCGACAAAAGATTTTTTTGAACTACGGCGTTGCATGTAGAAATAAAGATGAAGAAACTATAACAAGGGGAAGGATGATTGGTCGAGGGTGGCCTTATGAGACGGTTCTTGTAAAATCTCGAAGGGTATTAAACGCTGATTCCAAATCTGTCTTCTTTAACTGCAAATCATGGACGGGGAGTTATGAGAATTCAATGTTGTAAAAACTGGATGATTTTTTGGGATAAAATAATTGCTAGAATTTTCATAGGGCTTAAATGAGGCAGTGGAGGTGAACACAATTTACCTGAAAGTATTTATTGCTTGAAGTGCTCTAATACTTACAACTGCTCCATTCAAGAGCTAGCAAAAATTATACGATTATTTTTATTTTACTTATACATTCGATTTTCCGCTTCAATAAACTCTAATAACTTCTTGCGCAGAACGCTCCGCAGGTATAAAAAAAGTTTTTTAACATTTTATGCCTCTCAAGATGGTATATGTATGGTTCCAAAAGACCACTTCGACCAACCATCTTTCGCTTGTTAGAAAATAGGAGAAAACGCTAGAAAATTGAAGAGGGAGACCACTACAGGTTGGGAATAGTAAGATTTTTGTACCCAAGCAGGAAGACTTAGACGATGTAGGGAAACATTTTTAGACTGTCACACTCCGGATCTCAGTCGAACAAAGCGATTTTGCTACTACCATAATTTTGCTACTCATTAATCGAGTTGGGAGTGGAACGCAATGAATCTACCATATTAAGGCGACTTGTACGCTAATCAAAAAATGATTTTCGTAGGCGATCTTAACCATAATAAAGCATGTGACTTACGCTTTTCCTTCAAAATTCAAAAGATTCTGAAGTGAAAATATTGCTGCAGCCTTGTTTTGGGAGATGGTAAGTATTTGTAAGTGTGCAAAGCAAAATCTTACAACTCTTCTCTTTCTTTTAAACATAACTAAAACACAAATTTCACTACAGTCATGTTTCTTTTTCAAGCACCTCGATCAAAATTAAAAACTAGAACCAGTCCGTGTAATTGTAAGAAAACCAGTCTTGTACGGTCATCTCCTGTCCTTACCGAAAGAAATTGGATGATACTCCCAAAAATAGGTTTTTATTCTATAAAAAAGTTTTTTATTTACGGAGCTATTGCTATTTTTGTTGCACAAAATTTGAAAGATGCTAATGATAGGAAAGTGCATTAGTGCAATAAAGCCACAGAAGTCTCTGATAAGATTTGAAAAAAACAATGTCGGAGATTTTATTGGCACCCAGTGATAAAGGACACTCATTGGCAACTCATGATATGAAGTGAATAAATCTGTTTTATGGATCATGAAATCTTATGTGTGAGAGAAAATTGGTTTACTAGCGCAGGTACTTCTTTAGAGCGAAATTCTTCTACAGTTCTGTAAAACCGGTTCAGCAGTGCGGTATAAATGAGTAAAAATCGTTACCAGTTTCAATTATTTTTCCCAAGGTTTTTACAAAAGCTTGGGAAAAAGCAATGCCGTTTTAGCCAATTCTTATGTCTTCAAGTCACGTCAAATTGTGAGAAAATTCTCAAAACTGTCACCAGACCATTCGAAAGTTTTACTGCTCTCTTTACGATTCAATTTTTGTGGATTCAGAGAGCGTTTAAAGGTCGAATTTTCGCCGGCATTGAAAGAGGCGCGAATGGAAACAAATTGGAGCATAGACGAAACCACTCCAAACAAAACCTTGGATTCGTACCTCGTCGCGATGATCGCCCGTCTCAATGTCAAAGGGTGGAGTCGGACCTGCAATGGGTAATTTGATTCGATTGGCCAACGATCGATTTTTTAGAGCTTCGATTCACACTTTGATATAATCTCATCTATTGATATAATCGCATCATTTGAATGGAAGGGCAAAGAAAGGGGCACATAGGGCAGAGTGAGGTAAGGTGGGCTGGTATGGTAAGGTGGGCTCAAATTTCCACGAATCAGGTACTGTCCAAAAATTTTCTTCGTAGGGGGAGGGAGGCGAAACAAATTTGTTTTCGGTATAGTTTCTGGAGTGCGCTGTAATCTAGGGCTTTCAAAACCAACTACGCTCCCGAAAAAAATTTTTTACATTGCCTGTTTTGAATTTTTGAAAAATCTAAACATTTGTTCAAATTCTAGTAAAATAAATCACTTTCACAATTTTTTTCAAAAGGGCCAATGGTGCCTCACTGCTAGGTATTGACAGAGATTGATATTTTTTCCGAAAAGCGCAGTAATAAGCGTAAACACAAAATATAAATATTGACTCAGGTGTATTTTCGACATGGTAGCCTGCAAAAAAAATTGTTTTGACATTTTCAAGAGGAGCGCCAAGTTGCATGACATCAACATCATAAGCTTTACATTGCACCGAATAGTTGTAACGATCACAATATTTTCTTGAAAATCTCTGTCGATTGCCAATCTGATACAGAAAGAGATTCTTAGGCACCGTACTTGAAAACGGCTGAATCCGATAAAACAAAATACTGCTGGAGAGGATATAAATAGAAGGACTTGCAAGTTATTTCCAATAAAAATATTCTCGTAGAGTTTATTGAAGTAAGTTAAGGCAAAAAGCTGTCCAACTAGTATCTTTGAATTTTTTTCGCCCTAAAATCCAAAGAACTTCCAGAATCCTTAGTTCTATATTTGAGGTTCCAAAAGCTAGGATTCATCGCAAAACCAAATGTACAATTTCCTTCAAAGTAACTGTTAAGAATGTTATCTATACTGCAAAACGATCACCATTAAACTGTTGAACGAATATTTTGACAGCTGTGAGTAATACGTACATTCGACAAGATCAAGACTCCAATACGTCATCAGAACGAATGCACCAAGAGAATGTCAAAACATGGGGCTAATAAGGAAAGGATACTTGGTGACTGTGGCCTTATAGAATGTAACGTATACCACTGAATGCACCTTGAAGCGCTGATTCAAATCTGCTTTCATTATCTACCGTGGGCTCTTTCGAAAGAAGTAACATTTTTGCCATTAAACAATGCGGTATTTCTGATGGCAACATTCACCAGTATCGTGAGAATGTTCACTTACGCACTATAAAAGAGCGTACAAACAAAATAAATCTTTGCGTTGAGCTCAGGAGAACTGTCTCCGAGGTCTAAGGAGCCTGGACACTGATGATTCTGACTGCCTAGATTTCGTAAAATCAATAAAAAAGTCCACAACTTCGTACAGAGAGTCGCACAGCAGAAAGTGAACATAGATTTGGAATCAGCATTTCAAGATGCATCTACTGGCAACATATCACAGCAAAAGGCCACGATCACCAACTATCATTCCCTGCTAGGGAGGAAAAACTTGGTCTTTTTTTTTTCAAAACAATTATCGTCCCTTGGCTGATTGAAAACGGTACATATCGAGGAGGAACACACTATAAAGAAAAAGTGCAATAGAGAGATGGTTTACCATCAGAAAAAATTGTTAACGCAGAATTAGGGAATACCTACTATATCTATTTTACAAAAACTTGTTTATTGCTAAAATCATGTAGAAAATTTTATATTAGCTTCGGTAAGACCACAATTTCAAAAAAAAAAGAGTTTTCAAAGCAGATTTGCTCCAAGGCATATTTTTATTTTTATTTACGCTGGAGCAAAAAGTAGGCATTTTGAGTAACTCATGATAATGAAAAACGCATTTTTTTACGCGAGACTAAGTTCATTGGGATACAAGATCCTAGACGATGTCTATAAATACGATTTTGCTCTTCTACACTACAATCATCTCACATATGCATGCGCGTTTACGCTCCGATGAGAAAAGGAAGCAGATAAACTATGAATAGTGAGATGTGGCAAGAGTCTGGAGTTGTTTTTTCCAGCAGAGGTGGAAAGGGTGAAAGTAAATTGTAGAAAGCAATTTGATGGGTACTATTAGGTTTGAACGAGATAGGAGCGATCACAGTAAAAATGTGTTGACGCTAAAACGAATGCTCACCTTTTTTTAAGTTCTCGATCTCCTCCTCACGCTGCTGCTCGACAATCTCCCCTACTTCAGCAGGGATTTCACTCTCTACCGGCTGATCTTCTGAAACATCGGATCAATACGCAAACAAAGCATGGCAAACATGAGCTCTTTGGTGCGAGCGAGCGGCTCGGCCGGTGAGGAACAGCGGCAGAAGCAAGCGAAGGAGCGAACTGACGACAAAGCACGAGCGACTAGCCTGACAGCGACGAGACATTCAGCGTGTACTCGCTGCGAAACGAGCAGCACAGCCGAGCTGCGGGCGCGAGTCGATGTGGCGAAAGTCGACCGTCTATGGTTGCGGTGAATAGAAAATGAAGAACTTACTAGTGCATGAAGCGAGATTGGATGAGAAAAATGATATGGTGATAGCATGGCAGTGAAAAATGATATTTGCAATCATTTCAAGTTGGGGAAACGTGGTAGAGTAAGGCCTCGGGCAGAGTTCACGCGATTTGATCGTCGCGATTGATCGCGACAAGACAACTATAAAGATACCATTGCATACCGATCTTCTTGCACTTCGGTTGTGATAGTAATCCAACACAACTATTCGTGCCTAACTATCACAACCGAATACAAGAAGATTGGCATGCAATGAGCTTGTAACACTTGTCTTTTGGCGATGAATCGCGACAACCAAATCGCGTGAACTCTGTCCGAGGCCTAATTATCACCAAAAAGTACCGGAAAACCGAATTAGAATAGAATAAAAATAGAATCAAGGATAAAAAAGATTTTTAGATTGAATACCGAATATGATATATTCATAATGTCTGCGCTTGTAATCGGCTTCAACGATATCTTAATTGATCCATCTTGCGACAAAGAAGAGGACTTCGAGTTTTTACTGGCAATCCTATCCAACAACAATTGTCGTGTATGGTATTATTCCAGCTAATAGTCCAGATTTTTATGAACTGTTTATTGGTTAACGTTTCGGCGATTTCGCCTTCGTCAAAACCTGGAAGGTTGAAATAAATCTTGAATATTGGCTGAAATAATACCACACCGCACAAGTATTTAACAAAGACTGAAATACAGCCGAATATTAATAATTGTTGTTACAGTATTCTAGTGCAGGCATTTTTGCTGCAGACTGACAAGGGAAGGATACTAAGTGACCGTGGCCTTTTGAAATGAAACGTACACCATTAAATGCATCTTGAAGCGCTGATTTCAAATCTGCTCTCGATATCTGCTATGCGCTCTACCGAAGAAATTTGAACATGCTTTCCTAAAATTTGCATTGTTTTGATGACAGGATTTACCAGTACTGGAATACTCACTTATGCACTACAAAAAAAAAGTCCAAATTGAATAAAGCTTCACGTTATGCACAGGAGAACTGTCTCCGATATATCAGAGTCTAAAAGGTCTTGATGCTGGCGATTCTGACTGCCTAGACCTTATGAAATCAATATGGGAAAAAGTGCATAACTTCGTTCAGAGAGTTGCACAGCAGATAATGAACATAGATTTGGAATCAGTGTTCCAAGACGCACCGACTGGTATACATGTCATTGCAAAAGACCAAGGTCACCAAGTTTTCTCCCCTTGTTAAGCTGAAAAGTCGTAACAAACAGCATGCGTTAAAGCAGACAACACAATTATTTAAAGTAATTTCAAAAATTTAATTATTAATCGAGTTCTATTCGCAACTATAGGTTAAAAGAATTGTTCTAAGGTGAGCAGGTAAGCTTCTTACTAGGTGGTATTTTTGGCTCATTCAATTTTTGAATCCAATTTCAACTGCATCTACATCGTAAATTTCGATTATCTTAAACTTGAACCTCCTACTAATGTAGGTTTGAATAAGACTATCAAACAGTTGCGTAGATAAGAGGTAAATGGGGGCAGCTAGAATTTTTTTTATGTATTAGCGATAACAGAATTATCTGCAAAAATTTTGCAGCATTTTATCGTGAGTTGCACACAAATTTCGCAGATTTTGAACTGGTGAATGAATGTTCTTAGTAAGGTCTGATAGAACATTGATGTGATATTCTCGATGATGTGAAAATGGTTATTTTTGTATGACGAATGAGTTAACTATTCTAAGGCTAGTCATGTTGACTCTCATGGATCTATATAACTTTTCCTTGAAATCACTGGTTAAAATTTACAGTGAGTCAGGAATTTTTGTAAAAGTCTTTCGTTTATTTCCCCAGCAAAAGTAACACTTGCCGGCATTTTCCGATTTTTCGATAAGCAACTGTGTATCAATTTTTCTCCCAAACGTAAACGAAGCTCTAACAACGTCATTCTCGAATTTTTCTGCATTGAACATTTGTCTTCATGAAAAAAGGAAGAAAAAGTTGTGCTAGCGTTAAGCCGATCGGCTCATTTATCGAAAATTACGTCAATTGTTTGCGAAAGATTAAAACTTGCATAAAAATTGTATGAGTCAAAAAACTATAAAGATGATAAACTCTACCTGTTACAAGCAACAATAAGTGAGTAAACATCAATTGCATATACTTACAATTAGGCACCAGTGGCGGTCCCGAGATTTCCAAGTCACTTGCACATTTTTATTACACATATAAGTAATTTTCAAAAATTTGCGGGCGCCCCCCCCCCGGACCGCCACTGTTAGGCACATATCAGAAGAACACACACTATAGCTAAAAGGTCAAAAGGTAGTGTAGATTTCTAACAATGTTCTATTTATCTTCAACTTCAATGGCGAAGAGAAGAAACGATTAAAAATTACTAATAATAGGATTAAAATCGTAATGTAGTTAGCTCAAAAGCGTGGAGATTAACTGCTCAAAGATCTGAAATTTTTTTTACTATACCCGAATATGTGAACAAAATAAAGTTGAATTTAATTTGCTGTTTAGCCCATACCAGCAAATCTTCTTTGTAATCTCCAAAATATAACAAAACTTCAGCGGAAGATCTTCCGGGTTTATACAGCCAACCGGTTCTGTTGTCTGAATAATTTGAGGCTTAGACTACAGATATACTGCGTCCAGCAAGTAGCGTCACACGCCCACAAAAAACCCGTGTCTCAATTGGGAACAGGATCTATTTCAAGTGACTACTTCTATTAGTCGGCAACACGAAAAGGATTGGAATTGAAATGAAAATCGAAAAAAGAGGGTAGTAGCGCGAAAAGCAGAAAGCCGAACGCAGTTAGGGGACAACAAAGACCTTGAAGCGGCAGAGCGTGGATGCAGCTGAATACTGTTCAGTTTTTTGGCCCCCTTTTGCTGTCTAACTGCAAAACTTGCCTCCAACTGCGAAGCGCCAATCCTGTGCGACTAGAAAAAGTGGGAGGATATGAATGGCGTGGAACAAGCTTGTTAAATCGTAACTACGTATGCTTTCCGGCTCATCTGGCTGCACTTGTCGCGCTCTACTTCAAAAAGTTGAGAAAAGTTTAAGCTTCAGAACTAGCATTTCAAGCTCTGTTCACCTGAAGTCCTAATCTAGTCTTCGCTTCAAATAACATTATCAAGTCACAAAAAGATCCACCAATAAATGCATAAAGAAAGCAATAGTCTTTGAAACTAGGAATACGCCAAAAATGGTACAAAATCATGAAAAGTGCCATTTTTCGAGGTTTCCCCCATTTTTTTAGAACATATCATATAATCGAATCTTCCCGACTAGTAATGGAAACACGATTTCTCAAAGTGACAGCTGTACTCAAAAGTGGGCAATGGGTTCTTCCCAAGGCCTTCACCTTAAGAAGTTGAAAAAAGTTTTGACTTCGTAACAGGTTTGGAACTTTGCTTGGATTGAAAGTCAAAACCTGGAAAACTTCTTGTAGTCATGACCAGGGTCAAGCAAGGGGTGTGGCACACGATCGCTGGTTACGACCCCCCCCCCCCTGATTGCTGTCTCAATAAGGCCACCCCTAAACTATACACTTAAGATAGCATTACTTGAAGGCCCTGTCAAACATAATGGGCAACATATCCATAATTAGCATGTCGAATAACCCCTGTAGATAAAGTGTGAGCGAATTCTGAAGATTCAACATACTAGACTACCTAAGTGAAATGGTCATTTTTCAACATGATTAACATTGTTTCAAAGGTGAATTAGCTATCCGTTTTTGCACTCAAGGCAAAGCACTACTCCTTCGTTGTCCATCTCAGGAATCCCGCTTCAGAAGACCTCCAAAGTGTGGAATTAGAAGCCAACCAAAATCTCATTTTTTCCATTTTTCGCTTTTAATGGCTGTGCTTTCACCAACTATTACTCAGAGCAAATAAAACGAATCAGGCTAAAATCACTTTTGTAAAACTAGGAGATCTAGGCTATCGATCCATATAAATATTGTCCGCTAAAATTGTTTTTTTGATATAGTTAATGGGGTGCGGCCGCCGCAGCTTTTAAGGGGGTGTGCCGCACCCCATTAACTATATCAAAAAAACATTTTTAGCGGGCAGTATTTATACGGATCGATAGCCTAGATCTCCTAGTTTTCACAGGAGTAATTTTAGCCTGATTCGTTTTCTTTGCTCTGAGTAATAGTTGGTGAAAGCACAGCCATTAAAAGCAAAAAATGGAAAAAATGAGATTTTGGTTGGCTTCTAATTCCACAGTTTGGAGGTCTTCTGAAGCGGGATTCCTGAGGTGGAGGACAAAGAAAGAGTAGTGCTTTGCCTTGAGTGCAGAAACGGATGGCTAATTCACTTTTGAAACAAAGTTAACCATGTTGGAATTTGACCATTTCACTTAGGTTGCCTAGTATTTTGAACCTTCAGAAATCGCTCACACTTTGTCTACAGGGGTTATTTGACATGCTAATTATGGATAGGATACGAATATCATGTTATCACTATTATCAGATTACCCAACTACGACCCCCTCCCCTTTTGACTCCTCCATACGACCCCCCAAATGTGGCGTGCCGCACCCCACGCTTGACCCTGGTCATAACTTTCCCTTCGAAAGACGCCACCAAGTTATAAAAATTAAATTTTGAGTGAAAAGAACAAGGTAGATCTCCGGAAGCAAAGATTCAAAAAAAACATATTTTTGGTGATATTTTTTGTAGTCTCGAAATGTTACCTTTGATCAACTGGCTTGCCTGCTGGAAGGCGGGGCTTCGTGACCTAATTAAGGCCGCTCGCCCTCGCGACGCAGTCTGCGTCTCTCTCGCGCGCGTGCTCTCTGATCAGTATCTAGCCCTAATTAGGTCACGAAGCCCCGTCTTCCAGCCGCCAAGCCAGTTGAATCAAAGGGTAGTAGTCCCAATCAGTAGCATGGAAAAATTCTTCAATAGAGTTGTATTACTGAAAATATTTTTCGATAGAATATCAGTACAACGCTCACTGAAAACTCAAAGCGTTAATCGCCGTTAAAATTTGCTTGAAAAATAAAGTTGAAAAAGATTTGGAGATATTTCGCGGAGAATGAGCATAGCAACAGCTATCGAAGTTGATTTTTCCTTTCTTCCTTTTTTCTTCTTCTTACAAATGATATAACTGTCTTTTTCCCAAGGATAAGAAGCGAGTGGAGAAAAAGTCAAGCATGAGCCAAAAAAATGATTAATAAGAAAAAAGACGAAGTGTGGATGAGCAAGAGGAAGAAATAATGTAAATGATGTCACCCTCATAAGTTCGATGAATCACATTATGATGACTTTTTTCACCTTTATGGTGAAAATCAATCAAAGCGAACAATTGCAGGGAAATGAAGAAGACTGTTGAGCGACAGTTATTTCAAGTGCTGATTTTGACGAAGTACCTATCAAGTGCTGACAAGCGGAGTGGATGCTAAGCGGAAACAAAAATGAGTGCCGCGATTTTTTAGGGCAAAGCGGGTGCAAGCGGTCGTAAAGCCATAACAATTTGCGCTCGAAAGCAAATAAGCGGCGATTACAGTGTTAGAAGAAGAACCTGTGCCCAGCAGTTCAGGCGACGGTGTCACTTCAGCTGCTTCTGCTGGCGGTGGCGGTGGAGTCGGCGATGGAGGTGGTGGAGGCGATTCGGCGCCACTAACGTCGTGTTCGCCGACGGAGTCCTACAAAGACACCGCAAACATTGACGGCTTCACCATCTGCTTCCAGTCTTCGGCCTAAGCGGCCGTAAAAATTTAGAGCCGAAGAACTTTTGTGTGAGTATGCACAACGTGACTCATGAAGCACGCACAAAAAGGCGGAAAGAGAAGTGAAGAAGTTTTGTCATGGGTTTGTAGTGTGAAAAAAAGAGCGGAAAGCAAACATTTGTAAGCGCATCGCGAGTCAAGAGTGAGGCTTTTGGCGCCGCTAGCCGCCGCAATTCACAACAAGTTTGCTCCCCCCCCCCTTCCTCCCAGTCCAAAACAACCCCTGGTCAAAGGCATCGATTCGCAGCTGTTCTTCAAGAAAAGAACCGGACTGACATGACCGCACTGGCTTTTACTTCTGCCGCGGCCGAACCCATGACTTTTCCCATTACATATATCACGAACAAAAAAACTACCTGCTGTGAAAGAGTTGCCTTGCCCTTTGCGCTCGCAGTGCTTCCCCGTTTTCCCCCGTCCCAGTGCGTCATGTAACCCGCGTCAGAAAAACCCGTCGTGACTGCATATTTGCCTTATGCTCGACTGATATGATTATGCGGCAAAGCTGGTTGACTCTGCCCGAGACGAGTGGACACTCGCGTCTCAGTGGACTGTTGAGACCACATGATAGGGGGGAGGATAAGTAGGTGCAATAGACTTTGGAAAACTGGAACGAGTTTTTCAAAAGTTCTTGATGGGAAAGTCGTCTCATCACATTCCCATCAAATTCGCATGCCATTAACCGTCATTTTCCCATGAGTGTTGCCAAAAAATACGAAAAAAATTGGATGAAATATACTTGAGCAACGACTTGGTTCCCTCAGTCAATACTACAGGGTGCGGCAAAAGTCTGGGAGCCTAGTACTTTTTCGTACAAAACGAGAAGGGAAGTACCTAGAAACGAAAAATTTGGCGCACACATAATTCGAACCATTGCAGAAACAGCCCAGTTCTTGAATTGCAAGACTGCTTCTTTTGGCTTCCATGCAGCCCTACAAAATCTTGGCAAGTCCACCTGTCATGGCACGCAGGTAGTCGTAATGGAATTCGCCCCACGCCTTCACAATAACTGCTTCTTTTACTCTGGCAGATGTGCAGCACGATAGAGCAAGCTTTTATCTACAACATGCTTTCAAAAGAAATTTTTGCATTGCTTAGGAATAAAAATATTGGGTTTTCAATTAGAAGCATATGTACGTCGCATACCGTAATCTCGGCTACAATTGCGCGAATAAAAACTCAAAATTATCGTTTAAAAAGTATAAAAAGTGTTCCCATGGTCGAATTTCGATAGATTTTAATTTAGAAGACGTATGCAAAAAATACAGCCTTGGTCCCAGTGCGCGTTGAGCGTTCTATAGCTTTTGACTTTGTTCTGAAGACGGATTTCTACTGGCACGTAGGCAACATTCGCAAACTTTTATTTTCTGTTCATGCAAAACAGCTTCTGGCAAAAGCAAAACTAGGATACAATAGCGCAAAGCCTCTTCTATGTCGTGTGCATCGAAGTTTTGTAAAATATCAACAGCATCTCTAGTTACAGCAAAAATTGTAAATACTAAAAATTCTGGTTTTTTTGCTTTGGAAAAGTACAAGTCTGGTAATTTATATTCTTACAAAAACATATGGCAGCCATTTCCAACCAAATAAAGTGTATTCTGTAGAGGATGACCGCAGCATCATGTGGCATAAAAAGGAAATCAAAACCATCAGTATCTTTGTAATTGCAGTACTGCAAAGTTAGGCTCCCAGACTTTTGCCGCACCCTGTATATATCATGCAATCTGAAAGATCTGTTGAATGAAGTCAGAATGTTGATCAAAAAATTCAAAGCACATTTTTTGCGAGACGTTTAGTTGGCAAAAATGTTTTTTACAGTTACTTAGGAGGAGAATCTGGCAAAGCCAAAAGCAAAATGAAATTAAGTTCTATTGGAACTTCTCGCATTTCCAATGACCAAATATAGACATGTTTTGAGTCTTTTCCTTGATACCTAGGATCATATAACCTTTTATTATGCGCTACTATAAATGTTTTATAAAAAATGTGAGAGTTTCTGGGATTTAGAAATATGTGGTGCAGGACTTTGGAAACGCAATAAATTATTTGAATACTCAATAAAAAGTGCTGATGTTTTTACGTTCCTGCCTTTGTCAAGAACTCGTAAAACAATTATCTTGATCTCCCGTCGTCGCTTGAATTCTTAGAAGTTTCATGTTAAAAGGCCATGGAATATTCTCGTTAGTGTTAACAAACTGTTTCCAATATCTGCACGCAAAAGCGTGACTGGACCCAAATATTTATGTTCGAATTAGCCGAAAAATATATGAGCGCCATCATTGTAAAGGCGACGAGCTGCCATTCAACTAGTCATGAAACAGAGCTTTTTCTAGTCAGTGCAATTGAATGTGATTGACATCACCAAGTGTGTTCACTGATGCGAACGTTATGTCACCTATAATTCATTCGAACCACTTTCCGAAAAGCTTTTTATACCTAGTGAGAATTTTGCAAAAGTAAAGAGGACTGTTTCAGTATAGAAGTACGTACAAATCAAAATGATTACTATTCTGATAAAGAAAATTCCACATTTCAATAAAGTCATGCACCAGGAGCAGGGCTCGGCATAGGTAACTTGCAAACTGGATTAGTTTTGGGACAGAAAGCAGAAGTGGTATCGTTTTTGAGGTCGAAAAGACGCAAAAATTCTAGTTTTTTTGTCGACGTTCGTTTCTAATGGTTTTTTTACGTTTGGGGTTTAGGGTCAAAGGGGACTTTGCCAAAATTCGTGGAAGTCAAGAGGGACTTCGTTTTTTGCATTTTCCAGAAGCCACCTCGTGCCGAGCCCTGACCAGGAGTTACAGGAAATTTGTTTCGAAAATTAAGATTACGCTAGAATTAGGTTATACATTATTCAACTTACTAAATATTTTGTTCTACGATTTCGCTAATTTATCACTTTAAACCAGAATTAAATAGTGACAGATCTGAACTGTGGACAACTCGGAAGCTATGAGACTGTTTGTACATGCAGCCAATCATCAAATTCTCTTGCTTGAAAAGGCAATGAGATATTGTTGCATCTTTTAGCATTTTTACTTTCCAAAATTCGAGAAAATGCATGAGTATTTCCGTCTATAAGCTTGAAATCCGTATATGCAACTGCGAACTTTTGCTCGAGGCTATTCAGAAAAAAGCGTGGAATTTTCTTTTAAGGATGTATCAAATTAAACGGATTTTGGGGCAAGGGTTGTGGATCAACCGAAGAGATGACGCTAACGCCACATTTCTACCCCTAAAGCTTCAAAAGTAACGTACAGGTCAGCAAGGATTTTGTTTTACTATCCGTAAGCGCAAAGCGTATGGCAGTTTAACTTCAGGGTTCTGGCTTGGCATCTATTAACGAACTTGTGTAATCCAGAGATTTTCTAAGTGTCACTGTTTCTATAGAAAATTTTCACTGATTTATAGTAGAAAGCTATAAGATGTAAATGCTCACAACAGAACATGCGGGTGATGTTCATATACATATGGATGAAAGCATCGAAGCCTTGTAAAAATAGGATGAAACCTTAACTTTTTCTGGGAATTGATTTGACAGCTGCTTAGGGGTGTCCAGGCTTTTTGCGAATTTTCTTCAACACGATAAAGTTCTTCACGGTCATGTTTTAGGTTTGAAAGATCATTTTTTCTCAAACTTTCTCCGTGTGCAGAAAATAAAAGAAAAACGCGATTTGGAAACTGCTAGGAAATATTGCCTACCACTTCCTCTTCTCCATCAGTTGGTGAAGAGATCTCAGGTTGGTCACAGTCTTGCACTTTTTCGTCTTCATCACAATCTTTTTCCACTTCTGTTTGTTCTTGCAGCATTGCTGATGGCTGATCACCTTGTTCTTCTATTTCAGGATCTTCAGATGTTGACTCTTGCAGGACATCAGAGGATTCCATAATTTCCTCTGAATCCTCTGGATGTTTCTGCACTTTTTGATCTTCTGATAAATCGGAGTCTTTTTCACTATCAACGGGTTGTTCTTCTATTTTCTCGACTTCTCCGGGTCCCACAGACTCGCTTACGTCCTCCTTCTTTTCAACTGTTGCTTCACCTTCTATCTCTTCTGGACTGCTCATCTCTGAAACTGACAGGCTGTCAACCTATGGGAAAACCGTAACTAAACTCAAGAATTTCGTCTTTCCCATCAAAATGCCAGTGAGAATTTTACAGCCCGAGCTATGCGCTTGACGATAGGAGCTGCTTGCAGGGCACATAGTATCGTATTTCAGTTTTATTTGCTCAAACAGGGTACATTATAGCGAGAGGGTAAGAGGACATTGTTACTTGCATTTGCTACTGCAGTAGTGTTGAAGTTTTGCTGACATACATATATGGGGGAAAATTTTGGAAAAAATATCAAAAATGAGAATTATTGGACAAAAAGAAGAAAAGCCAGTGTAGAAAATTCTTTAACGAGACCAAGTACTTTACATTCTTCGGAAAAGAAAGAACTGCTCCGAACTCGGTAGTCTATTTCCTCATATTATCAAGGATTGATCAGAAATATTGATAACAGCTGAAAATGGAAAAATAACGCACATGGTATTCCGAAAATATAAACTTTACTCTTTGAAATTTGAATTTGTAGCTGGAATTTTGGCATAAAATTAAGCTATTTCGTTTTTTGACCCTAAAAAATAAACCAAAAATGCAAAGGAAAGAGATTTTCTACCTACGATTAAAATCAACTGGTAAATAGGTCATTGAAAGGTGAATATAAAAAGACGTTATGGGCCTTACCATACTGATTTCATCTTCAACAAAATTTGTGGGAAGAATTTGTCTGAGACTGCTAGTCGTGATTGTCTGGTTTTTGATTTTTTGAGTTTTTAATAAAAACCCGTTGAGTAGCAATAGAAATAGAGAATAATGCAGCTTCGCTGAATTATTCTAATCGAATTTCATGCTCTATTCTTCACAAGCAAAAACTCATTCCATAAAGAAATGAAGATGACGTGAGATAAAATGTTCTTTTCGCCCATTACGTCTCAAAGTCCTACTAATGGAAGCGCATTCTCGAGCTCTGTGCTGCTCTGAATAATGCTGGCACGCATTTTCGATGTGGGAAAGTGCAGCCGGCAGAAAATCACGTTTCCCATGGCTCATATGGGAGAAAACGCGGCATGTTGTGTAAATTACAGCCAACATTTTTCAGCCGAGAATGAATGTGACGACAAGTTGGACGGCACTAATCAACTAGATGGGAGAAGTGACAACTGCATGGGTGGTTTCGAGTGGATTGCTGATGCAATTAAGTTGGCGGGATAACGAACAGGGATGTTAGAATATAGTGTTCCTAGATAGCTAAGAATTAAGAAAAGTTAAGGTATTACAGATAACTTATAGCAGCAGAATAATGTCTGGATTAAGATGTTCATATCCAACAATAAAGTAATGTAAAGAGAGGAAAAAGAAAAATTTAACAGCATGCGATAGTAATAAATTTCTCGTAATAAATGTTATAGAACACTATATAGTGATTGTGAAGAGAAGGAGAAGAAAATTTGGCAACTGTAACGAAAACGAGCCTAATTTATAAAAAGTCCTATATTAAACTATGAATTCTAAAGGCACGAAAAAAGTAAAAATTGGAAAAAAAAGCGATAATCACATGAAATCCGACTTTTAATAAAAATTTCCAAAATAATAAATCTACATACAAGTTTAAATTCAATAAAGATAAATAAAAATAGCTCATGACAATATCCTTGGTGAACACTGAGACTGAAAGGACAGGAGAAGAAGTAAGTTTAGAAAATGATTTCGAAAAAAAAACTTTGCTCATTATACGTATTATCGATATGAAAAAAGAAATTTGAGTAAGAAGGTGCGAAAGTAGAGGAAAGCTGGAAGAATAAAAAATGATTGCAACAAGTTTCGCAAAACAATAAAGTCAAAAGAAAGAGTGAGAAGGAAAATCTGGAAAAATCAGATTCAGCCAAAATAGCGAAAAGGTAAAAAAACGACCTAATATTCAGCAGTCATTTCGAAATTGACCACTTGCATTTCGCTATTATCAAATTTTCCATGGAGCCATAACAAGCTAGAATGCATGTTTTCGTAGACATTCCCTCATTACTAAATCAAAAAATCTGGACCTAGTACAAAACAAGTGCATGTTTTGCGTTTCTGTCTTGATTTTCAATGCCGCTTTTTACGAAAAGCTGATTGAATTCTAAAAAATGAACTTTTCGTTTTGCCTATTTCAGGAAAATGTGTTATCAAAGACATGTAGAAAGTGAAACATATGAGATTCATCAGAGTGACCAGCACCATATTTTTGGCTATTAGCGCTCTAAAATATTACTAAAATCAAATGAGAACGCATATTACACCAAGCTTATGAGACAAATTTTCAATATTTTCGAACCCATAACTCAAACTAAAATCATTAGCTCTTTGGGCAGCTCGACGAAGACATAAGAGTAATGATGATCACATTAGAATTTTTGAATTTTTTTGCGAGTGGAAAAAAATCTCACACATTATGGAGATAAAGATGTTCACACCCCAGCAGATATTAAGATGGATGACTACACACGTCTGCGCACGCGCCAAACATTTCTCTCACTTTAGCCAAAATCTGGTTTAGCAATTAATCTAATTACGGCTAGGTTTCTGCTGTAAACAAAAATAGCTGCAAGTTTTAGCACTTCCATATAATTTAAGATAGATGCAGAAGAGTGTAGCTTGCTTTTTTGCTGTATAAAATGCGCATCTGCACGATCTTTCAAAACATCCGAAATATTTTCTAGAAAAATTGTTTTTTAGGTTAATCTCTTTTGAACATTCGGAGGTGAGGCTTTCTTATCGCTCTTTTGAAAACTTCGGAACACAATAGCATCAGAATAAGGCGAGAGTCTTCCAGGAGATATATGACACCACACCAAAAACTAATGATAGCGGGATTTGTTTTATCCTTACGTCATTAATAATGCTTCTTCCAACTCGCAAGATTAGTAGAACCCACGATTAACGATTATCAACAAAATGATCGGTCATGACAGCAACTTAAACGGAATAAACCCCTTCCGAGGAGGTGGTTACAGTAACCAAACAATCTTTTCCGCAGTTGCGATCACTTTTGTGACGAACTGAACGTAATCCGGTGTATGAGTGAAACTAATAGCATTGTAGGAAAAAAATACAAAAGACATATGAAGAAGTTTGTATTTTTTGTGATAATTTTCCATCCGTAAAGCCTGCGGTATCGGCTACGGCCATGAGAATCATACGATTCCTGGGAGCCGAAAAACTGGCTGATCAAATATGGTCAAAAAGAAGTAAGCAGTAAGTTTTGTGCTACGAAAAACTTCAGCTCAACCTAGAGCAGCTTTTGATAAGCTCCGCCCTGTCACGGCATTAAAATATGGATACGTGAACCATGAACTCTATACTTTTTTATAAGAGTGCAGAATGTATATCTCCCTCTAAAATTTTGGATTAAAGAAATTGATTACAGAAAAAGACGTACTGGCGTCAAAAATAGTCTCACTTCTCGCAAGAATGCCCACGCGTTCATGGCGTTCGTAGAAAGATTGGATCCATTCGCATCGTTACCGAATGAATGAGAATAATGGCACTATAAATCTCAATTCGCTTGAGAATAATATATCTACCGTCGCAAACTTCTTCAATCAGTATGGAAGGGTAAAGCAATGCAATGGAAAACGTATGGGTGTGAAATCTGCATAAGGTGGAGGATTTCTTATCAGTAGTTTCACTAAGGCGAATCATCCAGCTTTTGACCATTATTCGTGTTTTCGTCCGAAAAACGATGAATATTTGGCGTGGGAGAAGGGTGAAGAAAAAAGGTACACTGCAAATCAGAGATTAGTCTAAGACTTCAGTCACTAATTATCCCCTGGCCAACTGAATTGTTTCCATCATAGCCCTCTTCTTTCCAAGATTACAGTGATATGAAGCACGAAATGCGTGCGTATAAGAAGAGAAATGATGGATATAATCCGAATGTAAGCAAAGATGAAGGCGCACGCAAAAGGCTTTAAAGAATAGGATGATGAATACAAGTGTCAATCAAGAAAGAGATATTTATTATCTTTCTGTCACCACTAGGCCCACCAGTGAGGGTAGTGTTTTCATCTCAAAAGCGATTGGATTTTTTTCTTCAAATCAATGTGTCCATTATTTTCCTGCCCAATCCTCCACTATAAACTTTGTAACATAAATTTATCACATTGTTAAAAACCCTTGAATTCTGCATTGAAACAATTTTTCCTATTTGAGTCCCTTTATCAAATGCAAATAAGAAACAGTATAACCTAAAAATTGCTAGTTGCACACATACTCTTTCTTCCTATCACGCTTGACCTCCGTCGTCCTCTAATCCCTAATCTTCCCTTGTTCGTTCTTTTTCATGTTTTGTGCACTCACAATCAGGGCTACAATGCGCTAATTGGATAATTATGATTCAGCTCACGTGGACATGGAATGCGGAGGGCAAAGGTGTTGTCAAAAGTTGGTATTCTAGCCCAACTTAAAGCTTGTATTTCAAGAAGAATGAAATCTAATAAGCTTGAATAGATCAACAAAGTGTTTGACAAAAAAAGTTGAAGGATATAATTACTACCTGGGAAAAGTAGGAAATTTGAACTAGCTAGAAAAGTAACGTACATAAACAATAACGTCACTAAGTCTCAGTTTCCAGCTATGCCTGTAACCCAATCTAAATATTATGTCTCATTCTATTTGATTTCTATACTTAAGGTATACCTAGAAAAGATAGGAGCAACAAGCTGGTCAAAGAAAAAGTCTGAAGAAAACAGACTACCAAACTGACAGCACTTTTTGTTTTGTACCTATTATAATAAAATCAAATTCTTACCTAAGCTATAGGTTTGTTGTTCTGATAGAAAAAAGGAAAATTAGAAAACAGTGCCTCAAAAAGTTAATATGACTGCTGGATGATTGCAACAATATTTCTCTCGAAAATAAAGGAAGAATTGATTTAAAAAATCTGGAGTATTAGCAGCACGGTTATGAAAGAAAGCGTACGAGACCGTGATAGTATAGTGTAGCTAATTGATAATATTCTGATTAATTTGTCATGGACAAG